ACGATATTTTTGTCAAAATTTGATATTGAAATTCATATAAAAAAAAAAAGAGCTGATACGGAAGGTGGGAGCGGTCACTTTTGTAGGTTAGAAGTCGGGAAGGTAGAACACATAAGGTTATTTCATTTCTATCTGTAAACAACGTAATCCTACAGTACCATTTAGATAATATTTCCTTTCAGAAATGGTACGCATATTTCGGAGCGGGATTTCTGGTAGAAATGTCACAGTGGATGCATCATTCTTTACTACGCTCAGCATCCAAAAACGTTTAATGAAATCGGGATTTCGACCGATGCATAAGTCGATTAATAGCTATCGGTATAGTAATTAATATCGGAATATCCAAAAAAAAAAAAAAAGTCGTATCAACTCACCGCTATTAAAAATGACTATACCGCCACCCGTGTAATATATCGTATAAATAATTCGTCCCAAAGGCCATAAATCATAATTCATCATTTTCATTTATTATACGTATTATTTTTGTACCACCACTTTAATATAACACAAAAGAAATGTCAGCATGTGCACGTAAAAATACAGTATACTATTTTCAGTTCATAGACAATAAAGACATGTTTCGTTTTATTGTCCGTTGTGATGAAATTATGAATTGATAACCGATATCGCCCAAACGCCAATAAATACGAGAAAATATATTTTATTAGAAAAAAAATACGATTTCTATTTGTCAAAACGGCTAAAATTAGTTTTTTTTAATTTACGCCAGCAACAAACTAAGGATTAAGCTGACACCGCGAGAAAGCCCACCGCATGACCGGCATTCCCCGTGCGCACACCTATGTACGTAACAATAAATCATTGCTAATGAAATACGATTCTGAGTGAAGTTTCGTTAAATACGTGTTTAAAAATGCTATGAGTTTTACGTTATCCGTCAAAATTTGAATTTAATAAAAGGTTATAAAAAAAAAATTGACACTGCATTGCGTTCAACTTTTTTAATTTTATCAAAAGTATTTCTCCTTGGCTAAAACAATTATAATTGCATAAAACCAAAGAAAAACTAAAAAAAAAAACTCGAAAATTCAATTGTCTTTAAATAACTAAAAATCGACAGAACGTTTTGAAAATGTTACTACTTTTATAAATGGCTTATCTAAAGAAGTATTCAGTGATAATTTCGGGTCTCTACAGTAATTTTTAACCGAATTATAATAAAAAAACAAACGACGAAATCGTTATTTCCCAGAAATGTCCGGTTTCCCCGGTTATTATGAAAATTACAAAAAACATAGAAAAATGACGCCTCAATACGTTGATTAGACAAAATGTACATTCAGAAAAGATGCATGACGCCTGGAATGAAATTTTATCACGCATCCAAGTAAAACCGATATATACTGACTCGCTACACTCAGAATCCTAATAAAAAAAAAAAAAAAAATTAATAAATAAAAACACCAACGAAAAACTCATTCGAAAAAAAAATTGCGAAATAAATTTGAAGTACTTTTTACAAGAATCCAATTATATACAGGCCGAATTTTTATCATGAACCAGCAGTTATAGATATGCAAACCATTACCTTTCCCTACACCTCCGGTCTAAACTTTAAACGGTTGTAACTCATAAACGGTAAATCTGATATTAATGTTATTAATGTTAGAGAAAAATTGGGAATGTAAATAAAAAATATGTCAACCCAAACGTTACAGCAGATTTTCTCGACCTTTGGGTCACGAATTAATTGCATTGGGTAAACACGACATTTTAAAAGTTGAAAAAGCATGTTTCAAAAATAGAAAAAATGTCTTAAGTAAAATAAATATTTTACGTAACATATACACAAAGGTTGAGAACAGTCAGTTTATAGGAAAAAGGTAAAACTAAGTAAAAACCAATAATCGGTAAAAAAATATACAGAACGATATTCAATTAATTCAATGAACATAAAATTCTATGACTTTTGATTGAGGGTACTATTTTATATTCTGTTTAAACTGTCGCTGGTGAAATTGTTGAAGAGGATTTGATAGGGTTTAAAGCATCCCAAATATAGAATTTAACTACCCTTGAGATTTCGTTTTGTTTTCTTATACGATGTTCCTCCGCGTGACAACGCAACACTAAATGGAATCAATAAATGTTTAAAATGCCCACCCTACAATATCCGTGGCGACTGTATTGTTCATATTAATAGCTATCTTCCCTAATAATTTTAAATTATATTTTAATATTATTGTATTGATCAAAAAAATACGATTTTGATTAGTATTAATAAATTAGATAATTTAAATTCTTCACGAATAATACCGCGAGGGTTGTGCCGGTTTCAATTGGCCAGAATTGTGGCACTTGCAAGCCAATTGGAAAACGAGGTCCCGAGGTGAGCGACAAAACGGTTATAGATGTTAATAATATTATGTTCGAGTTCAAACCAATGTATTGACAATTAATTGTGAATTAGTTTAATGCAATTTTAATATCACACGAAAATTCGTAAAATCGATTCACACCGGGTCACCGGTTATATACGAGTAGTTAACGCTTATTATCTTCTAATGACGAGTCTTAACACCTAGCCAACGACATTCGCTGCTCGGTGGTCCGATCTATTTTCAAAATATTGAACAGTAATGTCGAATTGTTCGGTATGACTACAGGAATGTATAAAATTTCATCAGGTAGGTATATCCAAATTACCTTCATTATTTTTATTTTTCGTGTTAACTACGCCCCGATTAATTCTTATCTCGATATCAAAACAAAGGATAATTAAACTATGTTCATCCTGACTTCAAAAAATCAAATGAATTGTACCTCTAAGTGTTCTTAGCTGGTTTTATATAGACTCGCCCATCAACAAATATTTCTACCTAGCCTATGTAGTGCCATTTTGTCATTTGTGTCACTTCGTCTGATTCGCGTTTGCAACTATTTGTTTGCTAATGATCGACAAAGGTTTTGATGTCAGTTAGATATAACCTAGTGGGGGATACATAATTTCGCCAATCGTATGTGTATTTTAAAGATCTATTGCTGATATTTGCCATAGATTTGAAAACTACTTTCATGGAGTCATAATCGAAGAGCAAATAAATCGATTTCAGTAAAGGGCCTAAAAACCTATGCTCAGTGGTGGACATTTCGATTAAATCGGCATTTCTAACGATCGAAATCAAATTTGTTTTGAATGTGTAATCAGTTTAAATATAGGTGCCTGATACATGTTCCGGTTAATTATTGATTTTGAATTCACGATCAAATATAAATATGTTACCAATACAAACCATAATATTTTACTGGGAAAAAAAATAAATACGTTTTGATCGTTTAAAATTTTAAATGTTTACAGAAGTCAAAATATGTGTTAATCGTGGGTGGATTTCAGATTAAAAAAACAGAATAGTAATAATAATAACACTGTGAAACCTTGCTGCGTTGAGTATACACTATTAAGTGTAATATTATGTTAACCGCCAAAACACCGGAAGAATAATTTTAAAAATTATATCGTCCGTCAGTTGGAATATGATTCGTTGCCAAACAATTATAATTATAATAATCGTTCGGAATGGTATTTTTTTTTTTATTTTTTATTTTGTTTATTATCATTTGATTCCTTTTAGTTTTTATTAAATATAAACTTCTTTTTTTTTTTTTTTTTGTACACACACAAATATATAACACAAAAAAATACTCCACTGTATTCGCCTTATATTATCTTACTTTATATTGTGTATAAACCACGGACTAAGACATACAGAACTGGTAACAACGGGCCGCCGAGGTTAGGGAGATAGGGGAGAGTCGTCCTCATAGTTTCCGTTCGTACAAGATTGATTTAAACTACTACCTGGTAGCGGTGCACAAAAACTACTATATTTTTACGGAAAAGTGTTGTACATACTATTGTCATGTTTTCTGATTTCTCTCGCAAGGCGCTTTTTGACTCAGATTGGTTTTTGATTCTGTACATAAATAATGCTAGATAGGCCCCCTTGTACCTTTCAAAACATTTGAGATCCACTAATAAAGTCTTCATTTCTATTCTTGACTCATAAGCGTGCGCAGACCTTAATGGCGGAAAGGGAGGGGGCGAAGATTTTGTTTTGTCAACATCACCAATGACTGCGGAAAAAATTTCCTCGAAAAAGAGGTAACTAAATAGGTTAATCTAATGTATTATACATTTATATTGTAGTGAGTTTAATAGGTAACTATAATTATACAAACACCTCACTTTGCTTTATGTTCTCATTTATTAATCACAAAATATAAAATATTAATTAATAATAAACGACTGGATCATTTTGTTCATATCACAGATACGTGGTAAATTGTTATCATATTTATATTAGTCACAAACTCTCGAACACGATTAATTAAATAACGACTAACTGAATAAATATAGTAATATTAGTTTATTTGAAAACAAATTTAATCCACAGGAGGAAGGAGGAGCAGCTAAAAAAATGAATATGGTTGTAATTTTAAATAATTTTTTTTCCATGTATCATTCTCTGGAAATTTTCAATCCGGGGAATATTTATTCTTAATATACTCATTTACTCATCAACTATTCATCTTGCTTAAATAATTTAAGTTTTTCATGTCTGTATATTATAATCAACGTTGCAAAAGTTAATAAACATATTAGACGTTTAAATAAAATTGTTGAGAGGTTTAAACATCGAATCAAAAACAAAAGAGAAAAAGTCGAAAGTGAAGATTTCAAATTTGTTTCCGAAATGCATACCGCGTCACTGGATCAATTAATATAACGCACAAAAATTGGGTATGTTTTAATAAAATAAAAATCTCAGTAAATAAGGAAAATAAGTTAACTAGCTGGCTAACAGAGAAAACCCATAACAACGACATCATAATAGGAATAAAACATAACAATTATACACAATTTTGGGTTGTAGTATTGTTTTTACAACACAAAAAGAAATAATTATTTTGTGATCATAAATGTAATTACTTAATAACTAATTGATAACTATTCAAGTACTGAAATACTAACAAATATGTCGAACTCCTGTGAAACAAGCTTCCTCACCGAAATCCTCACCGACTTATGGATGTTTTGTATTGAACTGCGGTACCGGTTTGATGATTCTTCCCATGAACAGATACCATTCCAAAAAGACACTGGAGCCTTAACTGCGTTCTTCAGTGTATTGATGTATGTAATGAAACATGCCGTTAAGGTAGTGATGATAATTTTCATGTTGATTGGGTTCCTCATTGGCACTCTTACCATACCCATCCAATCCATCAAGTACATATGGTTCCGCTGGTCCAAAAGTTTCGACACTGAAAGTGAATCTGTCGGCTCCAATCTACACTACGAATATGAAATCAAAGGGCTATGGGTCCAGTTCATTATCGACATATTGATCACGGTGATCTTCAACATGCTATTCTTTCATTTCATCTTTTTACCTATTTACTGGGTTGTGGCCTACAATATCCAGCCTCTCGTATGGTTTTTCTGGTAAGCTATATGGTACTGTTCAAAACATAATGAACGTAATTCATGATTTTTATTTTATTTTAATTAACTTACGCCAAATGGGCAATTTAAAAGTACGTTTTGAAGAAAATAGATTTGCTTACTCGGTGGCAGAATAAGAGGTTGAATTATTTAAGTGGACAGAGGAAGGAATGGAATGGATCTGCTTTAAATCGCGGGCGTAGCGCCAAAAATTACTAGGTGAAATCATAAGAAAATGTTCCGTCCTTTGTAGATAGGATCTGTAATCAGATCTAGACCGGAGTATGCATTTAGCGTTTAATTAGGAGAATTATAAATAGTCTGAGAGTTGCTTAGACTGCTTAAATATTATGTGTGTCTGTTTTTCTTAAAAATGAGGTTCTTAAGATTATTAGTAGCCCAGCAAGGGAATTTGGGTTCGACAAATATCTTGAGTGGTACAAATTTACCGATAGCATTAATTAAAGCATCATTAAATACCACAGCAGCATTCTCAATAGAATATTCTGAGAACGTGAGTGACCAATAAGATACGTTTTAATAGCAATAAGAGCACCTCAGCCACAAGAGAAATTACTATTGGAAGAGTTTTGACTCCGGTGAAAGGTAAAGAACCCCTTAAAACCTAATTCGGAGCTAGAGATGCCAGGATAAAGCCAGGTTTCAATGACGGCAATAACGTCGTATGAAATAAAAGAAAAAAAGGATCATCTAACAATAAAAAGCTTAGTTCTAAGGCTATGAACATTTTAGTAAAAGATAGAGAGGTTGCCATTTACAGAATTCTTAAGAATTAAATTATCAATAAAAGCAGTAGAAGTATTCTATTGATTATTAAAAACTACAGTAGATACAGTTGCTGGTAGAAATATATTTACTACAACGAGACCATAACTTAGAATTAATAATTGCTTTAGAATGCTGGCAGACAAAAAATAAAGAAAGGAATCCTGACGAAAACGATAAGAAATCCAGACATTGGAACCAAAACATGTTTACTGCATGACCCTTAGGGTGAACCTTATTTTTCGCTTGTGATTTTTTTCAGGTAACCCCCCCTAAACAGGTTCGATTACTAAAAAAAACGCTACAAAAAAAGTTTNAAATGATAAAACCAAATTATTGTGACAGTGCAGTAAGTGTTTCTTTTTTGTGGTCAGGATATTTTTTACGGTATCACTAACAACTTGTAGAAGGTATTGTTTTTGAGATTCGTTTTTGGTAATTTTGTCATTATAGTCCTCTATAAGTTTTACTCCTCTTTCTGCTACATCGTTTATTACTGGAATATTTTTTATAACTAACAAAGCTTTAGAATAGTCTTCATTATTTTCCCAATTAATTGGATCTTCATTCAACAAAATGGTGTTGATGGAAAATCTTTTAAATAGTGTTTTAGTATTAACACATAGAAAATCATCGATTTCCTTTTCTAATAACTCATTTGCATTTTTTGGCGATATAGTTAAACGTTGTGCATTTGAAATTAATTCTGATGAACTTTCGTCGTTGTTTAGGGCATGAACCATTTTTCTTTTTATCTCCAGTGGCACAGCTTCATCGAAAAAAGCAAAAGCACATAATTCTGCAGATAAATACCATAAGTGACCACAAAACTTTTTAATTACAATCTGAGATATATCCTTGTCTATAGAAGTTTCCCACCCAGAAAAATTAATGTTAATTCTAGTAACTCTCGGTAATCATCTCTTGGGTGATTTTCTAAAAGTTGATCTCTAGAAAATTTGATAATATCATCACATACGTTATTTACAGAATCCATTGTAATACTATTTTGTATGCCAAGAATATGGGTACTGGTAAAGTGCATATTATTTATTTGTGCAATCGACCGATAGCCGATAATGATTTTTTTTTTTTTTACCTTTTAGTTCAAATATTTAAAAAAGCTTTAAATTTATAATATAAATTATAGAAAACAAACTATTGTAAATTTAAATTTCTTTAATTTATAATCTAACGAATTTATCGTGAGATTCTTTTCTTTAGAGTTAAGTTGGTTTTATAACAAAAACTTAACGATTTTGAAAAATTTTCTATATTTGTAACTTCAGTTACAAACTGCTGTTGTGGCACGGGTTAAATTTATTTGATTTGTCTAAAACTTTATTTATATCATTATTTTTAGTAATGAAACTTATTAGGGGGAAGTAATTTGAAAAATTTTGGTTTTTCATACATAATAGAGGACCACCCTAATGACCCTGCGAAGGAAATTTATGTACTGTTTTTTTTTAACGATAACAATAAAGATATTAACATTTTCGAACCGACATTATTAACTTATCATGTGAACATTCCATTTCAAGAATTTATCAAAATGTATACCTAAAACTTTTTAGTAATAATAAACCTAATATTTGAACCTATGTTAACATATTAACTCCAACATTAACAAAAAAAAAGTACTAGAATAATGGAAACGGATGCAGCTACCGTTATAGGTAATTTAATGAATCCGTAAGCACCGATTAACCATTGAAAAAAAAACCACAAAAAAACAATTCTGAGAACAGTTCAGTTGACAGTCATCAACACACATTGTGAATGTCATATTATAGTAAAATAATTAAATAAGGTTTTTAACTTTTTAAATATTGGTTGTCCCATTACACTATTTAATTGGCTTTCAGTAGCTTGCAGTTAAATGTCTACCGTCCAATTTCCAACCAATTTATCCTATTTTTTTTCAATCCTCTCTAATGTATCAAATAATGTGCGGTTATCGTACCTCAATCCTGCAATTTGCTTATCTATTGAATTTACGTTACTATCTAAAAAAAATAAAAAGTAATGTTTAAACACACATTTTTTTACTATAACAATTAAAGTATTATAAAGATCAAATTACTAAACAAATTTAAACTCAATATTCATCACAGTTCAAAATCGAATTGTTTCAAAATTTTACTGTAAAATACTATGATTCTAAAATTCTACTGTTTAAAAATTAAATGAAATTACAATGCTACAATACTGTTAATTAAACTATAATAGATAGAATGATAGACAGACAGCATTATAATACATTAAAACTGTATTTTATTCCTTCTTGAATTTGATATTAAATAACATATGAANTTTTTGGCATTTTATATAAAATAATAATAATTATGATTCTAAAATTCTACTGTTTAAAAATTAAATGAAATTACAATGCTACAATACTATTAATTAAACTATAATAGATAGAATGATAGACAGACAGCATTATAGTACATTAAAACTGCATTTTATTCCTTCTTGAAGTTGATATTAAATAACATATGAACACTTTGAATTACATTTACCATCTAAAAATATTATTTAAATTCAGCATTATTGTGTTTTACAAAAGTAAAGTACATTTTAAGTAGGTACCTACATTTATAAATAATGTGTCCTGATAGATGTATACATACAAACTCAGTTATGGATGTTGTATAGGTTGTAACTTGNTTAAAGATATAAAATAACTTATAAGAGTGTACATGTATACATGTATTAAATTTAGCATTATTGTGTTTTACAAAAGTAAAATACATTTTAAGTAGGTACCTACATTTATAAATAATGTCTCCTGATAGATATATACATACAAACTCAGTTATGGATGTTGTACAGGTTGTAGCTTGTAGGTATATGCATGAAAATGAAGACACAATGTAATTCTTCAATTACAGATATGCAACATATTACAAAATATAGTACTTACTTCTGACGTTCAAATAAATAATCACTTGTACCAAATAAGAAAAAAAAAAAACTATATACTAGCTATAAATTAATTATTACTAGTCAAATTAAGTAAAAAGTAGACTGGATATCTTAACGCGCATTAATCGTCAGTGCCATAAATGGGTTATTACGATTACGGAACGCAATTCGTAGTTCGTACCGTTCATAACTCGGCTTATCGATTGACGTGACAACGACAATATATCACACTACAGATAATCGGTTCTAAAAATACCTATACCCTGTCCGTTATCGCAAATGTGCTCCCACTCCCGGTTATCGGTACCGCTTCATCCACTCACCCGCCTATCAATCTCGCCACCATCGATACATATGGTATACAACATACATAGAGAACAAAATCTCGATAACATTTTGTTTTAACGGCCTTACCGCATAAATTTATTTATTAGGATATCTATGGAAATCTACCGTTAATTGTTATCACTTTTTTTCTGTGATAATATAATAGGAGGGATTAAACCTCATTACATCTATGGATTTGAAGTTCGCCCCCCTCAGAATTAGGATATGTCCGCCACTGCCGCGTACACGTATATTCTCGCACAAATGCTCTGTTTTAATTTGAATAACCGCTACGATTATCTTTTAAGTCGTGTAATTTTTCAATGTTGCCGTTAATTTGACTGAAACAGTATATGCGTGTATTTTACGATTTATTTGGCGATAGGTATTATAGATATTATAACTCGCCGTATACACGACCAAAATAAAAATTTATAAATAATACAATATTGTTATTCGACCGTCGGTTTGTAAAACCCGTGGTTGTAATTATTTCCTTATATTTTATAATTAATAAATATTTTTGGATAACGTCTGATGATGATGAATAATGNGCGATCATAGTGATGGGCGATTCAAATTTATTTATTTCTTGTATAAGCTAATCGCAGATCTCAGTTTATCGCACGTGTATAAGTACTAAACTACTATGTAAGTACTTAATATAATGTGTAGGTACTGTGTAACAACCATTTTATCATAAAAAACACTAGCACACTAATACAGTTCAAAATACTGTTTGTCGCATTACCCCATCCCTCCATCCGATATACACCATATATTGTTACAGTACAGTGGTATTGTAGGTATACATGCAGCAGTTCATTGATTAAATCATTTTTGAACTTACTCAATAACATGGTTAACATTGCAATTCTATATTATAACATTATCCAAGAAGCATTGGAATTTCAATGTTTGATTTTCAATCAGATGAGATGTAAATATGATATTGTTTTATCAACGTTCGATAATTATTATATTTTCAATATGATTATATTATTGAACAGCTATAAGAAAATCAATGTCAAAATTTCAATCAATATGAGTATGAATACAATATTGTTTTGCTAACATTGGATTATTATTGTATTTTCAACGTTTTAATATTATTGAACTGCCATTGAAAATGTAATATTTAAATTCTAATTAAAATGAAATAATTATACAATATTGTTTAAAGAATATTGAACTGACATAACATATTCAACAATGTATACATATTGAACCCATGTTATGATTCAATATTTAATAATCAATATGATGACAATATCACTAAGACATTTAAATTTTCAATCTAAAATCGAAATAATGATACAATGTCCATAAAATCTTAAATTGGCAATATTGATTTATCAATTAGCACTCAATATCCATTTAATAATGACATTGCAAAATTGCTATCTGAGAAATTTTTCAGTAATAATAAACCTAATATTTGAACCTATGTTAACATACTAACTCAAACATTAACAAAAAAGAAGTACTAGAATAATGGAAACGGATGCAGCTACCGTTTTAGGTAATTTAATGTATATCTGTAAGCAACGATTAACCATTGCTTACAAAAAAACAACTCTGAGAACAGTTCAGTTGACAGTCATCAATACACGTTGTGAATGTCATATTATAGTAAAATAATTAAATATGCATTATTTATTTTCTTTGATAATATTTTTTTTAATATTGAACAGATTGCCCCATTTTTCTTTCGTTTTCCCATATCCTATGTATTTTTCTGGTTTTTCAAATTTTCTAGACAAACTTGAGAAAATCAAAAAAAATATTTCCCTAATAAACCATCCTAGTAAAATTTCCTTTCAGAAAAAGTGCTATCATTGTAAATTAAAGCAAAATTGCGGGTAGAAAAGTTGTTCGCAGGAAAAGAGACCGAAATATTTTTGAACTAATACCTACATTTCGTACATTTTCCGTTTTTTCGAAATGTTATCCCGATTTTTCCTAGATCATATGCAAATCGCTTGAAAAATCAAAAAATGACCTCCTTAAATTAACATGGAGATAAAATTTCCTTTCAGAGAGTAAGGTACACATGATAAATTAGAGTAAGATTTCTGGTAGCAAAGTTTGCACAACAAGTCTAAGGTTATTTTGCGATTAAAATAAATTTATAAATTAAATAAATTAAAATAGATTAAAATAAAACAAGCGATGACTTTGATCTCTAGATATGCTCAAACTGCATTTGTTTTTTTTCTTGTTTAGATAAAAAGGGGGAGGGGGTAAACGCAAAATATTTTGTTAGAAACCCTAATTTGAACTCATGATACTTAGAATAACAAGAAGTATATTGTATAACCATATAAATTAGATCACGATAAACAATCTTTAAAAAATTATTTAACATAACATATAATATCAGTCCGCTCAGTTCTAATTTCACCAACGTTCCTAAATCAATAAAAATATAAAAACATTTTTCATCTATACATTAGGGAGACAATTTTTCGATTTTCTCAAAAGTTTTCCCAGTAAATGTGAATAAACACGGGAAAAACGTAAAAAAAACTGGGAAATCGGTACAACATTAAACAAATATTATTAAAGAAAATATATAAAGCCTATTTAATCATCTTATATAATAAAATGATATATATATATTGTTCACAATGCATCACTATCTACTGCACTCCGCTCAGAATGGTTTTTTTGCAAGCAATAATTTATCATTGCTTATAGGTATACATTGAATTATCTCGAACAGTGGCTGTCCCATTATCCTAGGACGTCTTTTTTTTATAATGTACATTAAAAGGTCGGCGTCTTGTTTGATTATACATTTTTTCTCTAACTCTTCTAGTTGTATTAATACCCAAAGATATTCACTTACATTTATTATTATTGTTCTTTTTCTTAATATGTGAGTAATAATTTGAAGATGATACAATTAAATCATTAATTTTTTTTATTAAAAGTATCAACTGTGCTACTAACATTTTTATTTTTTAGTAGAATATTTCAATCTTACATTCTAATTAACATATTTCAATGCTATATGTAGGTGAGCAATACATGTATTCAAATGACTTACTAGGATTATTACAAGCAGAGTAAAAATTATTGCTACATAAGATAATCAGCCATTCAGAAATTCAACTGTTTCAATGTTATTTGTTAAAATATCAATATTAATATCATTACGCAAGAAATGATTATGGATTTGATTAAAATTTGATAAATATTTGTTTAGAAATTGAAATCTGAAATAATTTCCCAATCTAATCAATTAAACTCAAAAATAAAACTTTTACTTAGTTTAATTTCTGGAAAAACTTTTGCCCAATCAACCTTACCTTTAAGCTTTCAAATATCATCCTCGGTTATTCATTTAGATTCCATTTAATTATACATAATTATTTTTAAATTTTTAATATATAATTTTAATTCTTTTTTTTCCCTAGCGTTAAAATTTTGTTTTCTGCAACTTCTCATTATAAAAACTTCTCTCAATGATTTCATTATTTTAATTTTTAATTTTATAAGTAATTGGATTTTTGCCTAATATTTCTGTTACAAAACACATTTCTCGAGTTCAATTAGAATTATATTTGGTGTCAAACTTTTTTTGAACTTTTTTATTCTTACTCCATCGCCAACGCTAAATTTAATTTTTGATTTAGATATTTCATTAGGTAATAAGTTAAGTAAAACTTTTTCTTCATAAAACTTGTTTAATTAAAACAATCAAAAACCAGTTATATCTTCTGAAATCAGGTCCGTCCAGGAACTCGTCTTATCAATCACCAATGATTTAGAACTCGATTCCGCCGCAAAAAAACTCTCCGTCCAAGAACCCGCCTTTTCAATAACTGAATCTGTTAATATTATTGAACATGATATTGGCGAAGGAAACAATCAAAAATCAGTTATATCTTCTGAAATCACGACCGTCCAGGAACCCGACTTCACAAACACCGATGATTTAGAACCCGATACCGCAGCCAAAAGCATATTCGTCCAAGAACCCGTCTTTTCAATAATTGAAACTGTTGATATCATAGAACATGATATTGACGAAGAAAACAATCAAAACCCAGTTATATCTTCTGAAATCACGTCCGTCCAGAACCCGCCCCCACAAATTATTGCGTCGAAATGCCGCAACACCGAAATACCGAACTTTGGCGCCCGTGATATCCACTTGCACCTGGATAAGGAAAAACATCATTAAGGTTAAAAAAATTTGTGAATTGTGTTAAGCATGAAAACATACTGGACTACTTGTTTGTGTTATCGATGATATTCACTGTCGAACAATTTTAAATTTTCGGTCCGGGTGCAACGAATTTATAAGATATATCGATACACAACCCAACAGGCAGCAGAAAACAGAACTAAATTACATATGTGTTTTTTGATTCTTTCTTTATCAGTGAAAGGTTTGTGTTCTTTATTTTTGTGAGCGGTATTTGTGGAGGCGGGTTCTGCGACGGTCGTGATTTCAGAAGATATAACTGGTTTTTAAATGTTTTCTTCGTCAATATCATGTTCTATGATATCAACAGTTTCAATTATTGAAAAGACGGGTTCTTGGACGAATATGCTTTTGGCTCCGGTATGGGGTTCTAAATCATCGGGGTTTGTTAGGTCGGCTTCCCGGACGGATGTGATTTCAGAAGATATAACTAGTTTTTGATTGTTTCCTTCGTCAATATCATGTTCAATAATATTAACAGATTCAGTTATTGAAAATGCGGGTTCTTGGACGGAGAGTTTTTTTGCGGCAGAATCGAGTTCTAAATCATTGGGGATTGATAAGACGAGTTCCTGGACGGATGTGTTTTCAGAAGATACAGCGGCCTCTGACGTTGGCCGCATCAAAACACTTTTTACTTGGTTGCGGTGCTTGGCGACGACGGTCGATCCGTCCGCGTAGATCGTCCGGTACTCGCCGTCTACGTCGTAAAAATCGTCTGCGTACTCGGGCGACGATCGCAATACAGAAAAATACACATGCGAGAATACGTAACCGATACGAGCCGCTTTAGTGGTGCACGACAATGGATCTTGATTAACCGTCGTAACGGCTCTGGAATCGTCACTGATCTCGCATTTCGGGTCTACAACTTCACTGCCGTTTTCAATTTTTAATAAATTCTTTAGTTAAAAGCGCGTGCGAAAATGATAGGAAATATTATAAATAATATTAAAAAATATTTTTCTTTTTGCAACTGCTTTTGTTATTAACTGGAGAATGTATATTTAGGTAGGCGCGGATACTTAAAAACTATCACAACACGGTTACTGTTGGTTAGTAACCAAAATAAAATCAGCAGTTTGTTTTTGTTAATTTCGATATTCAATAACATATGTTTTATTGCCGTTGGGTGGAGACATCACGTAAGCTTACCCCCCGCGCCACTGATTATTCGTAATATATAGTGATGAGACCCACCAGACTCGTAATTTCCGTGAAAACTGGTAAAACGGGTCATAAAAATTTTGCACTCCACACTATACGGGTATTTAGTTAGCAATCTGAGGGCGCGGACCGGTTAGGTCAGGTCAAGTGTTTTTGATCTCTGGCAGTTAATAAAACGATACGATTTTATTTTTATGTAATCACTGCAAATTATTCATTGTTTGTGTTCATTCAATCCATATTAATGTTCAAAAGGCCGGGGATTGGTTACGGAACAAAAAAGTGCACGTGTCCTTTAAGGTTATGCGATGCGCTTCGATCCGTCGACGAATGCACACGACTTTACGGAACGTGTAAAATATCTGTTTTCCTCCGTACCGAGGCGGTTTTCTCGAACCCAAGCGTGCGCTCGGACATCCCCGAAGCGAAACGCGCGGTTGCCCCACTTGGCCGACGAAGTGGGCGTCGGGTCCGTTTCCTAACCGGTCGGTCCGGACATCAGCTTCTAATGACCGCTTCCGCGACGCCCTGATCGACGCGCGTGGCACGCGATATGGCCGCCCCAACTAACTTCTCCGCGGTACGCGTGCCGTTCTATCGGACGGGTTAGGCGAGACCGGCTCCGAGATGTGGCCTTCGCCATTATATTCGGACGGGACGGCCCACTCTAAGCGCCAGGGACCGGCCGCGTCTCCAAACGACGCACGTTCGGTCACCGCCCGTTGTCGAGAACGACGTCTCGGCGCTCACGACGCGGATCGCCTGTTCGACCGGCGGTCGCCCGTGATCCCCGGCGATCGTTTCTGGCACGGCCGTCGCGGTGCGTCAGCGAGCAAACGCGGGCCGCAGCGCACGCACGAGCTGCCGGGACACAGTCGCGTCGGCGAGCGTGTGACGCGCGACTTTCACGGTACACCGCGCGGCGACGTTCGCGCGCGAGAATCTGTTCCGAACATTCCGGTAACGCGACGGCGTATTCGAAATGTCTAACAACGTTCTGCGGCGCGTATCCGACGTTCACTTTGCGACCTACAAAGCGGCTACACATCGGACGCCGCGACGGTGCGGAAAACGTGCCCATGCGCCGTCGCGAAAGTCCGCGTACATCACGACCCAGCGGAGCACGGCCGTCCGCCGCCGTTCGTGCGCGCGACACAATCGGTACGCGGCCGCCGTTCGGTCGCACTCGAGCGAGCTGGTGATCGCCAATCGAACAGACGGAATTGGTCCGAGCTGGCGGGTCCCGGGGGTGGCGTCTTCCTTTCCGCCGAGAGGAAATTACGTCGGCATTTTTTTTTTTTTTTGTTTATCTACGACGAATGAACGTTTCCGACGGTAACGGCAATAGAAGCGTCGCGGGAGAACTTCGGCCGGATGGACTGCGTGTACCACACGCACATAACCGCGTCACGTCACGCTCGACGGTTTGTCGAACAATTTAGTTTCGAAAAAACGCAATTCGCATAAAAAAAAAAAAAAAAAACGTTTTAGGCGAACAGATTTGTTGAAGAATCGATCGACTTCAAAATGATAATTAAAATTCAATCAACATTTTTGTAATTTTTTTTTTTTTGTTAAATCAATAAATTTGTACGCGTTTTGCGCTACAATTTTTTCGGCATTTTAGTGCGTTACATTCGCAGCCCCGTCGATAACTGTACCGATGACGTATTTCTGATGTGAATACCGTAATTTCAATGCACGTGTATTGTTCCCAAACGGAAACCGTGGGAACGTGCGCGGTGTCGTACACACATTTTATCTCTTGAAACGATTGCAACGGAATTTTCGTTTGTTTTGCGCTAACACATTGTTAAAGTCTTTGGCCGTTAGAGAGAAACACAGACGACAGTACAATGCAACTGCTACAGCCTCTCGAAAGAACGCTGAACCGTCTGTATTCAATAAGTATCGCGTAAGTAAATGTTCAAGACATTTTCGAGAAAAAAAAAAATCGATACTTATCAACTTAGAAATAATATTCAAATTCTTTTTACGGACGAAATGCGTACAAGTGTTTGGAGTTTTCCTCGTGTGCCCGTGTGCTGTTAATTAACCGTTACAAGTAGTATTTTTTCTGTACAATCACGAACAAAAATGGAACGTTTGCGGACCAATCGTTTCGCGCGGGGACAACTTAACTCCTATCCGTATTAAGGAAGAACTTTGTCCGTGTCGTAAGAGCGCGCAATTGTACGCGTCACGCGAACACGATAATTAATGTTGTCCGTTTCGTAAACTTTCGTCACTTTCGATTACTGATCAGGCACGAACGATTGGGTAGCGCTATCGAAATAGAAATCACGCTACGACAAAGATATTGAACGTTCATCCGGATGTGCCGTGAAATAACAACAAATGTAATGGTATACTTTAAATACGGAACGAGTTAAGTTGTTTCGCGAAAAAAAAAAACGGTTTTATATAATCGAATATCGAAGTCCCCGGCGCGGGAGGTCGCGCGCCCTCCGGAAAAAAACTGTTTACTCCGGAACTTTAATTTTTTTCCGTCCTTCCGACGGTGCCGCGGGGTACCGGCCGTCCACCCGGCTCGAATATAAAACCCGTTACAAAATGTCCCGCGATAACGGGACGCATTTTGTGTATCGTCTGACGCATACGCGTTTAACGTGTTCGAACCGGGAGTTTGAACTCGTTCATCGGCATCAGCGAGCCTGACACTGCCCCTTCTATCCGTATCCGGTAGACATTCACCCCGCGCTACTTCCCGCGCATGTCCAGTATGTACTCTTTTCCGTTTCAAAGCGCGAACGACCTTCAAGTCCAGCGCAGGCTTATCGAAAAGTTATTGGACGACGTCTGGGGGGATGTTTTTTTGTTTGACGGCGAAAACGGCGACGGGTCGACGGGCGAATGACATTCCGAACCGCGAAGCCGACACGGAACAGCCGACGCGTACACGTTTCGGGCAGCTTTCGCCGATTATGGTCGGAGAAATAAACTACCGCGCGGTTGACCGGCGGTCGGGCCCACAGGCGCAACCAGACCACTAGGACCGCGGGCGGGATGAAATCGCGGGCGCGTCGAAGACCCGCGGGGGCCGTGCCCCACGCGATCCCCTTCGCACGGCGTTTGTCAACCACGCTATTCGTTTAGAGTTCCGCGCGCACAAATTGACCGCGATTATTATACGCGCCGCGCCCGAGCTCGGGCGGCCGGACGCCTTCCAGCAGCCCCCGTAGTCGCGCCCGCGGAGGACTCGAATCGCCCACAGTGCGCGCGCCGTCGCGGACGCCGTGCCGGGACGGTCGGGTCAGCTCAGGTTCGGCGGAGCGATTTTCTTTTAATACTCCACACTCTCCGTCGGACCGCGCCGCGGTCCGTCGCGGCAGCGACGATATCGACCGACGGCACCGCCGGAGTAAACAATAATAATTTTCAATTCGCGTTTGCCGCGGCGCGGTGCGCACGGTCGCGGTCCGCGCGCCGCGTCGCCGCGTCCGTGTGAAACGGCCCGCGAGTGAAAATCCATTTTAACGGAGTTCCCGGACGACGGGGAAAAACCAGCACCGCGCCCGTACGCGTTACACCGGACGAACACCGGGGCGGGCACTGAATTCATGCGTAAGGCACCGCGGCCACCGCGGTCGATCGGGTTCAACGGTGCACACAAGCCCGCGGAACGGCCGTGATAAAACCCACGTCGGTAATCTAAAAACAAACACTTTTAGCGCGGATGTACGCCATACGTGGGCGTGCGTTGAGCGGACGCGTCGGTAGTACGCATATTGTTACGCGTGCGGTCCGGGGAAACGTTTAGCGCGACGTGTTATATTTTTTCGTTCGAAACGTATAGAACGTCCGGACGAATTCCCGTGATTCGAGATTCCGCGTGAACCAACCGCAGCGTAAACCCGAAAAGCGGTTATCTACTATAAAAAAAAAAAAAAAAAAAAAAAACAGCGATTATTTCGCATCCAAAAGACGGGATTATCGAACACTTTAGAATTTTTGGGCTCCTGAAAATCTCAATAGTCCCGAGGGACGGGTCGGTTCCGATTATTGGGTAATAATATTCTTTCTAATTGTTACCTCTGGGTGGGGGGAGGGGGTTGATGGGGTGGACGGGGTTAAATTTTTCGAGATAAAATATGCCTAGGTAACGAACAGGCAAACATTTTATAGCTTTTAGTAATTTGCTCTTTTTTTTTTTCTCTAGTAGATATATTTGTTTTTGTTTAAGGAAGCGTGGGTAACAGTGCGGTACCGCACCGGTAACTAAGGACATCGACAACGGGACGTCCGAATCTGTAGATTAATTTGTATTTTTGTTCCTATCGATTTACATTTAATGCGTTTTATTACTGAACGCCGCGGTATTGAACATCGCAGACCGCTCGTCTGCCCATTTCATCTGTTGTTAATGTAATGTATAATGCAAATGTATAGAATAAAATAATATATATATGCATGCTATTGGTTTTCAAAATTGGTGTTAAAACGGCACGCGATGTTTGAGTTTCATCGGTTGTTTGTATCGGAATACAAGGTGAATGCGAACATCCAGTGCGAAGTCTCTTTGAACGGTATTTCGACTTTTGGAAAAGCTTAAGTATCGACGATGCGATGTCTTTTGTTGCACATGTTACACATAAATGTCCATGTTTATTTTTAAGGCAGTGTTCTTATTATTGCGGCTTATTATTTTTGGGTGTACGCGTGAATTACATTACCGACCGTTCGGATTGTCGTTATGATTTTGTTGCCGATTGAA